TAGAGACGTAGACGTAGACAGTACATAGACAGATAAGAGAGAGAGAGAGATGTAAAATTGGCACAAGCAAGCACCTGTCTGATTTGATTTAGATTGCTTCCATTCTCTCCAAAAATTGACCCCATCAAATATTGAGGGACTACAACTTCTACAGTGGTACTTGTTACGACAGCAGATTGGCTTCCACTGCATAAAGCTATTTATTAGTGAACATGCATAGGAAGGCAGTTCAAAGAAGGAATAGATTTTAAGAACAGAGATATTCCTGACACACGCCTTATCAGGAATACGTCTCATTCAGTGCAACTAACTGTTTCAGGGCACAAGGTTTACAATTGTAGGACCATAATATATTGCAAATCAACAATCTATTACAATGAAGATTTGCATTAAACCAAATGAATAGATTGATCCATTTTTGGATAAAAAACTCGATACATTGATTTTCAGGAAGCAAATGAAGCAAGCCAGGACCATTCAATCAAAAGAACTGACGTCTAACCACCAATAAGGAGACAAAAAGGGTAATTTAGCTTGTTTGGGCTTTTTGGGATGAACATAAAGGCTTTGAATCCTTGACCTTCCTTACCCAAACCGATATATATCTACCACTAAGACAATCCAAACCGATATATCTACCACTAAGACGAAGCCTACGAGACCTGTTTACCTAAATAGAAAAACTACAGTTGGCCCGTAGCCAAAGGGCATGGTGCTTTGTGTTTCAATCATTTGCTTGAAGGTTCAATTTGCATCCTTTCCAATTCACCAGCAGCACAGAGAGAGAGAGAGAGAGAGAGAGAGAGAGAGAGAGAGATTCAATGGCACACATGACAGGAACCCCAATGTACAGCTGCAATTGATTCATATGCAGCTGCATGGGATTCATGCTCAGATCATATGCCACTTAATCAGTGATTCAAAAAACAGACCGCCTAAGCGGTCTAGAAGGCTTGGGCACATCGCCCAGGCCTAGGCGGCTGCCTAGGCGGTACGGAACCCGCCTAGGCGGGCGCCCAGTGCCCAAATCCTGCGCCCCGCCTAGGCGGCCACCCCGCCCAGAGGCAGAAATTTTTTTTTTTCAAAATTGATAAAAATTAATCAAAACATCACTCATTGATATTAGATTTAATTTTTGATGTTTTATAAATCTATTGGGGGGTTTTTTAGAAGATTTAAAGTCCTTAGAAGCATATTTGACTGAGCATCCTTTTTGGATTCGACTGGGCCGCCTAGGTTCTGGGTGCCCGCTGGGGCGCCTGCCTAGGCGCTGGGCGACCTGGACCCCTAGGCCGCCTAGGACCCGCCTAGCACTTTTTGAAACTATGCATTTAATACATCTCATGAACCAAACTATATAAAAACAAAGGTTCACTGAAGCCACATATAACAAAATGACAGTTTACCTTCCTAAGCCTGAACCTCTTGGACCAAGAGGCCTTCCCATATCTGTCACGCCTCTAGGAGTTCCACTGTCCCCTACTGGCTGCACACAAAGCAGCTGTTTTACTTTAATTTTTTCTCTAATAATTAATGCCTTTACCACAATTTTGAAAGATAAAATGGAGGAACAAGGCAAACAGATAAAATGGAGGAACAAGGCAAACAGATAAAATGGAGGAACAAGACAAACTCTCTTTCCTAAAATACTTGAGACTGACATAGAACTTAAAGGTGCAAAACCCACTATACCTGAGGAGCCCATGCCCTTGGAGAAGGAGGACGATCAAAAGAGGGACCCAATCCTGACCTCTCACCACGATATAAATATGAATCATTTTCAAAGTGATCCATACTATGATGAGGACGAGGGAATCGTTCGATGTTATTGGAGAACCCAACTGACGAATACATTCTTGGAGAAGAGGCCATCTCAGGTCTCATTCTATATGGATCATGGGGTGGAGGTGGAATTTCTGATGTAGAAGACATAAAAGGAGGGCCATGACCAACTCTGGGCTGTGGTTTATTAGGAAAGAGATGATCACGTATCTTGCTCGTGATATGAAATAAAGCATCCTGAACTCCTTGCAAGCTACCAGTGACCTGCAAACAAATGCAATTGAGAAAATCCATACAAAAGAAAAGAAAATGCTTACCATCTAATTAGCCTTGTCCATTTACCCCACGCATCCACCTACCATAAAAAGTGTGCTTGTTTAACTGAAATTTGGCCAGAAGCTGGAATACCTTTCAGCCCCACTCAAAACCGACAAGAATTGGAAGTTATGGACCTCAGAACAATGATCCACTGGATTTACATTGTCAAAAAAAAAAACTGATCCACTGGATTTTTGACAATTTCAAGGGAATAGAAATCGTCACTTTTTATACTGCAGGAGCCTATAATTAAATATTTTAAAACAAACAGCTAGTTTGACAGTTAGGAGGTTAGAAAATTATAAAAATGTAATCATCCCCAATAAAATTTCGCAACAATTACAGTTATAAAGACACAAGGTGGTTAGAGAAAGATGCATGTAACCCTCTATGGAAACCAAGCATGCCACGTTAAGAGAGAGACCTAAGTGAACAAGTTATCAAATATCAATGCCCCAAACATAAAAAAGCACGCTGATAGAATTGTGAAATAATTGATTATCTACAATTGATAACTAAAACAACTGATTGAACATTTACTGACAAAAACAAAATAAAAACCTAATCGACTTGCTCATGCAAAGAGCCAGAAAAAATATTTATAAAATAAAAGATAAAAGTAGCTATATTAACTCACCTGGACTAGTTCGTCATTTGCTGAAGCACATTTTGGCACTTGGTCTTTCACGAAAATACGTATACTTGTTCCTGTAACTCTTCTCATTTCAGCTATGATTGCCCCTCCCTTTCCTAGCACACAACCGACCTGGTTTGAAGGAACAAGGAGCTTTGCAGAAACCATAGCACCTTTCTCCATAACCAAGGACTCTGAAATCCTGGTTTGGACACGAATAACAGCATCTTGTGCAGGAGACCGCTGTGATTCTGAATTCTGCATAAACATCCATGTAATCAAAAGATGAATTCATAGGAATCCAAAATAACCAAATAACACTTCATGTAATCAAAAGATGAATTCATAGGAATCCAAAATAACCAAATAACACTTATTCCTCATAACTTTGTTATTAAAAAAAATAAAAAACCTTATTCCTCATAAGTCCAAGAAAGGGCTTCCAATGCTTCCACCTGCCCATGGCGCCTAGAGAATATTTTTCAGCAAATTTCTTTTTTGCAGGCATATACGCAACTCCTTTCAGCATACCTGGCAAGAGGCAAATTCTACAGCAGATCTACTAGCAAAGAGGGTGCAGCTAGTGTCTCTGGTCGGACCTAATAGCATTTTTTGGAGCTCAGTTCCACAGTTTACTTTTTTGCTTCTCTTTTGAGTGCACAGTGCCATTTTTTGCTTCTCTTTTGAGTGCACAGTGCCATTTTTTTGTATGTGATCTTTGAAATGCACCCAACTTTTGAACCCCACTAGACAAGTTGTAATTTTTGTTTATAGCAATACAATCATACTGTCAACATTTCAAAAAATAAGGGTCCAAGCCTGTAGGAACAACCGCAATAAACAGTTTTCTAACCAATGTTATCAGATTCACCTATGTCAAATTCTCTCCAAATAAAATGCTATAACCCACACTTCACTTCGGCACATCCTTCAAAGTCTTTAGTTTCAGGCCCGAAACCGAAGCAAAGCAAATCACAGCAGTCAATTTAAATATATCGTTAAAAATTTCAAAAATCTACTGATATATTTAAAACTTCATCAAAATGCCACAACTTATTGAAAATTTCATGAGAATGCCTCCCATATTACCCAAAATTTCAGACACATACCAATATCATATCCAAAACCTTTGAAAAAATTAACATTATAGATTAAAATTTTTAAGAAAATCCTAGATATACAAAGGTTCTTTTAATTTTTTAAATATTACATGCAAATACTTCCCCTGAATCTGCTGAAGAGCTGAAGCACTTCCCTTTGCCAGCCAAAATGAATAAACCCCAAAGTGAATATAATAATATTGTTTCTAATATATTTCCCAATATTTAATAACCTCTAAATCTAATACTTCTACCAAATTAGTCGGAAGCAGCACACCATTCTATGATGTATAACATATAATCTCTAGTTTCAAATAATTCAAAAATTTAAACAACATCACAAAAAAAAAACGGGACATAAATTATTAATATTTTTTTACAAGTTATTATCAGTATTTTTGCTTTCATATTTTTTGTAAACTGTATAGTATAAGAAATACAGCTAAAAGACAAATTAGAAAAAGAGCAACACTAGGTATTTACAGTTGGAAGGGATAAAATACAATGTGTATCATATTAGAAGGGATAACTTTCCAAGAAAGCTGATGAATTCTAAATGGTGACCAATCCATCAAAGACATAAATTATTAGATAATCGATTGCAAGTACAAATTGGGCTCTATCACTTGGAAATATCACTAAAAGTACTACAAGCTTTAGGCGCAGAAAACATACACACCTCCCATGCTGATACAACAATGACCCGCTCATCGCATTCTGGAACTGCATCAGCAATCCTGATCAAAGCACCAGTCTCACTCTGCAAAGTTCGTACAATGGAGCCTCCTCTGCCAATAACACTACCAACCTTGTCATTTGCACACAATAAACGGAACACGACCTCATCATCTTGAACCTTTCTAAGGCCATGTCCCACAGTCTCTTGTCCTGATAGTGGAGGATGGTTCCTTGATAGATATTCGAAGGGAGGAGCTCCAGGACCATATGATGGAGCCCTAGAAGCGAATGGGCCTGGTTGAGCATGAGAACCTGAACCATGACCCAGCGATGCTAATGGCTTACCAGAAGAAAAGTTGGATGCATCCGATTTTGGGTTATCCTGGAGACAACTTGAAACAGAAAGAAGGGCTTTCTTTACAGACGCAATGCTCCCTATAATCTGCCAAGAAACCGAAAAGCTAATGAGTAAATTCTAAATTCTTAGATTTTTATATCCACCACAAAAACTCGATCAGGAAGTCTATGCTTCAAATGCATAATATGAATTGCATGAATTCATAAAATATATATCCTACGCTTAGCCAAACTCCAGATAAGAGCAGAATTAAAGGATTCCAACAAACGAATTATCAATTAGAAAGAGAACTAAAAGAAAAAGTACTAACGCCAAACGTTGATCCACTTGTACGCATACTACCCCTCTTCATTAATGCGCAATACAGGTTTCCATTTCGATAAGGCTAAGAATAAAAAATCACATTCTTTAGCTAAGGAGGAGAGTATACATATGAAGAGCTAAGAATAAAAAATCACATTCTTTAGCTAAGGAGGAGAGTATACATATGAAGAGCTATAGATGTGAGTTGGGGACGGGCGGGATGTGTGGGGAATGTTTTGAGGCCAAACTCATAGTAAGCGAGATAATAGCAAGAAATGGATTTTGGGAATGTTTTGAGGCCAAACTGAGAATGATATCAATTTCATTGTGATTGAATGTTCTTAGCTTCACAGTCACATCATCAAACATGATGGTGAAGAAATTTACATAATCACACGATCTTCAATGTTGAATGAGAAGATTCGAGCCATCCCGCGAGGACCTACTTCATGTGCATTCCGCAAATAAACTGTTCCTTGAAAGTCACAGAAAAATAGTGGATACTGATAAACCTGAACTCAATATTTCCTACAAGATCCAGTACCCCATCAATCCAATTCATAAAGGTTGTATACTAAAATATATAAAGGTTGTATACTAAAAAATATAAAGGTTGTATACTAAACAAATTAGAGGCAAAAGATCAACACTTTAGCCCAAGCTCCCAAAACAATGTATCTTTGATAAATTAATTGACTATTTGAAACTTCAAAGCAAAAATAAACCTAACATTATTTTGAACCTGAAGTAAGCAATTGATCAACCTACAAACAACATTTACAACTTCCTGAGTCAGACCATAATTATTGCAACCTGAAAGAACAGAAATCTATCTCTTGAAGTTCCAAAGAGGATAATATGACCCCTCTATGAACTATGGATTTGTTCGCCATCAAAAGCCAAATTCGAGAAGCTAAAAATTCCTGCCCATTCAATTCAACTGCCCCCATAAAACCATACAAGCAAAGTAAACGGTCCCTTTCTCTTTGAAACTAAGGAAAGTATGCAATATCTTCCCTCCAATCAACATAGAATGGAACTCAGTGAAAGTTGTCAATGATTGCGACCATTGAGCAAATGGGGCATGGGCATTATAACCCAAAAACTAAACCAGACTCCTCTTTCATTTGAAGAAACTAAACTGGTGAGAGCAAGCAGCTCCATAGAAACCACACAACAAACAATGCAGGTCCTTCAAGTGCAGTAAAACCCAAAAGATTGGGGACATGGAGCAACATGCAATATAATTAAAAACAAAATGCTTCAAATTTCAAGGATTCAGGACTACAAAGCTGACAAGGCTCTCCTTTGGAGGTTTGCATGTAACTAAGCCAAATTTCGAAGGGGGTCCAAATATAAACATTGCATAATGCTTCAGTTGACAAGGAAATATATTCGACTAAGGGAGTTATTTAGGAAGGCATGCTTGCTACTTGATTATGTGAGAATAAAAGTAGAAGATGAGATCACTTATGGGTAGCCTTTTCCATATTGTCTTATTTCCTTTTACTTGATTGTTTGTCATGAAAAAAGACCTTGGGCAGAGGGTATAACAGAGAAGAAATTGATCTTGGGTCCTATAAGAAAGCAGCCCCCTCAAAGTGGCACATTTATAATGATAAGGATGTAGCCTGCAGAAGTGGCCATCTATTTAGTGAGTTCTTTCTTTATTTTCAAGCCTATTTTTGCTTTTCATCGAGTTACTAAGCGTTTCCTACTTATTTATATATAATTCTATATCTTTGAAATACACTGTATGGATTCATTCCATGTTTCTCTTAGAAACCATATAAACAGAGAATTGTACAATGCAGGTTCTTTTCTGGCCTATTTTTGCTTTTCATTAACTTACTAAGTATTTCCTAGTTATTTATATATAATTCCATATCTTTGTATTCCTCTGTATGGGTTCATTCCGTGTTCCTCTTAGTAACCAGATAATCAGAGAATTGAACAATGCATGTTCTTTTCTAGCCTATCTTTGCTTTTCATTCAGTTACTAAGCATATCCTAGTTATTTATATATAATTCTAAATCTTTGTATTCCTCTGTATGGATTCATTCCATTTTTTCTCTTAGAAACCATATAAACAGAGAACTGTACAATGCAGGTTCTTTTCTAGCCTAATTTGTCTTTCCATTAAGTTACTAAGCATGTCCTAGTTATTTATATATAATTCTATATCTTTGTATTCATCTGTATAAGCTCATTCTCTTTTCCCCCTAAAAACCACATAATCGGAGAATTGAACAATGCAGTTTCTTTTCTAGCCTATTTTTGCTTCTTTTCATTGAGTTACTAAGCATTTCCTAGTTACTTACATAATTCTAGTATGGAGTCATTTCATCTTTCTTTTAGAAACCATAAAGAGAGAAATGAACAGTGCAGGTTCTTAATGTCCAATAAAGCATGCCATATGGGGAAAACATGCAATATAACTACAATAAAAGTAATACAACAAGCAATTTTTTTTAACTCCAAAGAAAAAACAAAAAATGGAACTTTTTTTTTTAGTTAAAAAAATAATAATACAAAAGAACATATCATTTCTGCTAATATTTTTCAAAGAAAACTTAACACATTGAGCTAAGAGCTCTTTAGAGTCCAAAACAGTGAAAGAACAAAAAAACGCAGGTCCTCTATGAACAACAAAATCCCTAAAACTCAAAAATCCACACCAACAAAACAGTACCTGGATCAACTCATCACCCAGTGCAGCAGACAGTGGTAACTGCTCCTTCGACAAAACCCTAATTTGAGCACCACTCTCTTGCCTGATCTTTTCCACCACTTTGCCCCCCTTTCCAAGAACACAGCCCACCTGATTACCCGGTGCCAAAAGCCGGCAAACAACAGAGTCAGGGACCACAGAAACCTTCTGTTCACCATTGTCTCTCTCTAAATCCTCTTCTCTCTCTATCCTCTCCTCTCTCTCCCCATCGACCTGCAAAATCCTCTCAAAAACCCTAACCAGTGCTTTCTGAGCCGGTGAAATCTCGACCTCAGCCTCACCTCCCTCCTCTTTCCCCGCCACCTCCTCAACAGAGTCCTCGTTTCTAGCGACCTCATCACCGGAATGCTTTTTAAGGTGCTCCGGCGAGGGTGCAATTATCAAAATCACCCTTTCATCACAACCTGGAACTGGTTCTTCAATCCTAATCTTCGCCCCAGTTTCATCGCGAAATTGCTTTATGATGCCGCCGCCTTTTCCGATAACGCCGCCCGTTTTGTTGGCGGGGCACAGGATTCGGAATAGGGTTTCACCAACTGTGATCTTAAGGGGCGGCGGCGACTTGAAAGAGGAGACGCGGCGTTTGGGGGTGGCGCCGTTGCATTCCGGGGGATCAAAGTGGCGTTTGGGTGGCGGATGGGCAGAGCCGCTTTCCATTCGGCCCTCGTTACTTTCTATCTGGCTCTCTCTCTACACCCTTAAACCTTAAACCTCCCCTTCTGGTATCTCTCTGTCTCTCTCTGAGTTTATCGGTCTTTGAGCATTTCTGAGTCGCTTTCCGTTGGCTCCTCTCTTTCTATCTCAGAAACCCTCCTCTCTCCATTGGCATTTGGCGTTGTGAGTTTAGGTTGGCGTCACACTTTTCGAAATCTTGACTTCAAAATGTTCTGCTTCTCACTCTGCCTTTCTCGGGTTGCAGCGGGTCAGGTCGGGTCCTCCTATCCGGATAAAAAAAAAGCTGGCAATCGGACTACTAAAAAATTAAAATAATTACACATTTAATTATATTTAAATTTGTTTCACATATTAGGACCCAAAAAAACATTATCAGATCTAGACTTGAATCCAAACCCAGACCTAAATTCAGATAGTATTTGAGTCCAAAGATTTGGACTTGAAACCAACCCATTATATTCAAGTTTTAGAAAGTCGGATCTGGATCCATTGCCACCTATATAGTTAGCCTTTCTCTCTCATTCAGCTCTCTCCCCTACCCTCTATATTTAGGCACCTCTCTACCCTACCCTCTACATTTAGGCACCTTTGGATTTAGGTGAAAAGCTTTGGTGCTATAGGAGCAATCTCTCCATTTGATCACTTGGGCAAAGCTAGAGTTATGAATATTTTTTAGATCTCAAATTTTGAGAATATAATCTTTCTTAACCTAATAACCAACTTCCAAGTAAAAATAAAATTAATTTGCACCCTCTTTGTATTTAAATAAAGTGATATCCTAAAACCGAACAACAATAGTAAGATCTAGATGCTAGAGAACTCAAAATCTTTTCTTTCTTTTTTAAAATAATAATCTTGAGATATTTAGATAGATCTCAAAATTTTGGATAAAACTAATACTCTTAAATATCTATATTTTGCCCGAG